TGATTAAAAGGAGCCCAGATTAATAACAACATTGGCTTCAGAGTTAATCCGTACATATACATATGTTAAGTGAATTCTCTAGAAAAGATATGCTTGTTAACTGTTAATGATGATGAAAATTACTTGTGCATACATGAATTGCAGAAGATGCAAATATACTTGAAGTTCTTTACCACATAATGGTTACTTTGCACCCTTATTTGTCGTCCTAAAATGGGTCATCCCTTTTCATTGTCAGATGTCACAGCGGAAAGGACGAGGGAAAATGCTATAATATAATTCCATCTACTTTGCTGCCGTGACTCCTCTTGGTCCTGGGTTAATGAGACCAGCTAAGCTTCAAGATCACCCTGTTCTGATGGACAATCCAATGTAAGACATATTAACCTGTAAGTTATTTTGGTTTGAACGAGTTGACAAAGTAAGCTTTCGAGACGAGTACAATGTGTTGATCACCTATCATGTTCGTGTGATATTCATTTTCATTAGTAATTTTTTTGAACTCAGTTTTTAACAAACTCACATTCAGAAAAATGTTTTGAATCTCCCTTGTTTGTGTAGCATTTCAGTTACTGGTCCAGCCTGATCAAGAAGCATTAGTTGCATTATCCATTTTAAAGCCTCCTGTCGACTTAACCTGTTTTAAAACCAAATCATTTAATTTTTGTTCATCTTATCGATTTTTATTATGTGTAGCTTAGATTATTGGCATGACAGTCTTGTTTTTTTCTTTTGTTGGGGGGGGGGGGTTGTAAGGTTTCCCATCTCCTACTACAGGAGATTGTGCAGTGCAGTCTTTGGATCAGAAAAACAATGCAGGCGGACCAAACTATCAGTCAGGAAGACAATAACTCCACATTAGTCTGTCCCATGCCCAACCTAGCCCTCTAATTCTTGGTCAATGATACCTCAACTTCCTGCAACAACGCTTCCAACTGTATGTATATATATATGTATATATATCTTTAATTTGTATGTAATCGATCTCGTTTATCTCTTAGCCTGGTTTGCATTTATTAACATTGATGGGATTTATTCAAATTGCAGATGCGATTACAAACACAGAGTTTGAACAACTTGCCAAACAAAACCAATGTAAGCCCTTTTTTTGTCATTAAGTCAGGCAAACTTTTCCATTCAACAATATGATGAAGCTTTAGAATGTCCAACAATTTTGTCTTTGATCAGTATTAATGAATTTCTTGGAAGTCTTTATACAAACTGATTTGGTATTGAAGCTTATGAGAAACATTACCCACCAATGCTGGGTGATGAAGTTTGGCGTCTGGAAAAGATTGGTAAGGATGGATTGTTCCATAAAAATCTAGCCTCTATGGGCGTTAACACAGTGCAAGACTTCTTGAAAATGTTGATCGTCCATCCTGGCAAGCTTAGAAGGGTAAGAATTTGCAACCACTTGACTAACTTGGAATAACATACAGGCCAATTTAGTGTTTGCTTTTCTTAAATATAATCATAAATAACTTGCTTGTAAATCATGTGAACAGATATTTGGCGTTCGAATGTCTGAGAAAATGTGGAATGTCACAATCAAGCACGCCAAAACTTGTGTTATGGGAAACAAACATTATGTTTTTCAAGGCTCGGATTACAGAATCATGTTAAACCCCATTTGCCAACTAATCAAGGCAGAGATTAATGGCAGTATATATCCTACTCACAAACAAAGTGATGTTGACAGAGTATGTGTCATAAAAAGCTAAATAAGTTATTTATGTATTTGGGTCGTAAATGTCTATCAGTCTAATATTTCCTTGAATTGTGAACCTGGCATTTGCAATTGCAGGCATATCTTAAAGATTTGGTGAGACAAGCATATGTAAATTGGTCTTCCTTGGAAGAGATAGAAGGAATTTCCAATGAAATTGGCAATCTCATACAAGGTAATTCCCTTTCTAAAGGAACTTGCATGATATTAAACTTGAGCTTTCTTGTGGTGGGGCCTTTTAGTAACTTTTTACATGAAACTTTATACAGGAGATCATGTGGTGGACCAGTATCCCGATCATTCACAAATCATGGTGAGATCATTTCAACACAACGCTTATCTGATCTATACACAACCTCTTACCAACTTCAATCTGTTTTTTAAAAACGGAAATATTTGATATTTGTTTGTCTTATTGAATTTTACTATGTGTAGCTTACGTTATCTGCATGACTCGTCTTTTTTTTATTTTTTGTCACATTTGTAGGTTTGGCCATCTACAGCAACAGGAGATTGTGTTGCCGTCATTGAATCAGAAAAGCAATCCAGACAATGACCAGAAAGCTATCAGTGAGCAAGACGATAATTCTGCCGGGTCTGTCATCCGCCGCCACCTTCCTCCTCTGCTCCTTCATCAATGATATCTCAACTTCTGCAACCGCGCTTCCTCCTGTATGTAATATATCTTTAATTGTAGATAGTCAATCTCGTTTATCCTCGTATCCTGGTTGGCCTTCGTCGTCGATTGATTGGATTTATTCGAGTTTCAGGTGCGATTACAAGCACAGAGTTTTGAAGAACTTGCCGAACAAAATCAAAGCAAGGGTAATTTACAATCTCAACCATGTTGCTGCAAACAGGACCCTGGGGCCCAGCTAAGAAGTCAGTTGAGAGGTCACTAGATTGGCAGACAACAGAGGTTATCCATAGAGCTTCCCATAACCATCCCAAGTCACAGCCTACTAAAACTTCGTCACTATCTGCATTTTCTCGCATACTTCGGGCTTTCAATCATCTTACCATCAAAATCCCTGATAAGTCCTTTGTCACGTATGAAGGTGGGAAAATGGATGATGATGGTTCGGTTTTTTTATATCAGTAGCGGATGAAGAAAACTTCAAAGTACAATGATTAAAAATTTTTATGAGCTATCTGATAGATGTAAAGTAACCCTTGGTGTAAATGTTCAGAAGGCCAAAAAAAGGTTAGTTGAAACTTGGAGCACATTCTAACAATATTTAAAGTTGCATCTAAGATTCACAAAGAATGGTCTTAAAATTGGGTGTTGTTTGCTCTTATTTTTCTGTCATGATCTCAGGAACCCTGCAAAAACAACCGTGTTCAAGTTATCTGCCACCGCTTCTAGTTTTCAGGGAGATGGTACAAAGTTTCACTGGGATGCGTAATGAAGCACCAGAAGAAATAAGAACAGAAATAGCAAGGAAGAAAGCATGGTATGCAAACCTGAAAGAAATCAGTGGCAAGGATATACATTGTATAAGCAGAATGTAGATGGACTGAATGAAGCCGATGGGATCGAGTTGATTGAGAATCATTCAAGCTGATCATCCAGTCATACCCTGCCACCTGAAAGGATTATCCTGAGCCACGATGGTACTAGAAATAGAACTACACACTTTAATACTAATAACATGAAATAATGTATGCCTGCCAAACATACATGAGTAGTTTTGTTTTATCTATGTTCTGAATGTATACTTCAATAATTTATAAATAAATGAACTAATAAAATTGTTATACACACATGCATACATACATACTTACAAAAGTATATACATACATGCATTCCTACAAATTTATACGTATGGTGCATATTTAGATACATGCATATGTCAGGAAATAAACCAAGTACAAGTAATTTCCCTATAACCAGATTAGTGAGAATGCGAAATAAAAGCGGAAAATAATACCCGAAATTGATAACGGAGTTCAGCCAATTTGTGCTTAGTCTCCGGACTGCTGCAGATCTTTTACTAAGAGAAAATTTACAGGTGTTTACACAACACACTTGAGAGAGAACTAGAAGATTTTGGGATGATTTTGAAGCTAAATGAGCTATGGTATTTATAGTTGAAACTTAGGACTAAACTTGTAATTAACCCTATAAAAATACCCCTTAGCAGCCCTTAGCAGCCCATGTTTTTTTTTTAATTAAGCAGCCGCCGGCTGCTAAATTTCTTTGACCAACAATCTCCCACTTGAAGACTGATTTCAATCTGTCTTCACACCTCGATCAATGCAGCATCATTTCTGGTCTTTTATTCTAGCATGCCAACTGAAGCTGAACACAACTTCAGTTTTTCTGTGGTCACCGTCTTTGTTAACATATCTGCCGGATTTTTAGCTCCACTGATCTTTTCAAGTTTCAAAATCCTATCTTCCAGAAGAGACCGGATAAAATGATATCGCAGTTGTATGTGCTTCGTCCTGGAATGAAAAGACGGATTCTTCGCTAGATGGATAGCACTTTGACTGTCGCAATACAAGACATTGTTTCTTGTTTCTTGCCTAACTCTTCCAAGAAACTTGGAGCCAGACCATCTCTTTGCTGGCTTCCGTAACAGCGACATATTCTGCTTCGGTTGTGGAGAGAGCAACTATCTTCTGTAGTTGAGAAACCCAACTCACTGCGGTTCCTCCTAGAGTATAGACATACCCTGTAGTGCTTCTTCTGATGTCAACATTTCCGGCTAAGTCAGCATCTACATAGCCTGTCAATATCGTATCTCCACCTTTGAAACAAAGTGCTTTGTTTGTGGTACCTCGCAGATATCTGAGGATCCATTTGACTGCTTCCCAGTGTATTTTGCCTGGATTATTCATGTACCTGCTAACAGCTCCCACTGCTTGAGCAATATCTGGTCTGGTACAAACCATGGCATACATCAGACTTCCAATTGCTGAGGCATACAGCACCTTCACCATGTGTGCACGTTCTTCCTCCGTCTTTGGTGACTGTTATTTGGAGAGTCTGAAATGAACACCTAAGGTGTACTTACTGGTTTAGCATCTTGCATGTTGAACCTGGAGAGTACTTTGTTGATGTACTCAGCCTGTGATAACATCAAAGTCCCCGACTTTGTGTCTCTCTTGATCCTCATCCCAAGAATCTGCTTTGCAACGCCCAGATCCTTCATAGCAAAATGCTTCGACAATTTTTGCTTCAAGTGTATAATCTCTTGCATGTCTGAGCCTGCAACGAGCATGTCATCAACGTACAATAATAAAATAATGAAGCTGTTGTCGAACCTCTTGATGTAGCAACAATGATCTGCTTGGCATCTGGTAAAACCACTGCTACCCATGAAACTATCGAACTTCTTGGACCACTGTCTAGGAGCTTGTTTTAAACCATACAAGCTCTTCTTCAACCTGCATACCAGGTTTTTCTTACCTGCCTCTATGAAGCCTTCTGGCTGTCTCATATAGATTTCTTCCTCCAAATCACCATGAAGGAAAGCTGTCTTTACATCTAACTGCTCAAGATGTAAATTCTCTGCAGCTACAATTTTTAACACCAGTCTGATTGTAGACAGTTTTACGACTGGAGAGAAAATTTCATTGTAATCAATACCTTCTTTTTGCTGAAAGCCTTTGACAACCAATCTTGCTTTGTAGCGTTTGCTCCCATCGTGCTCTTCTTTGATCCTGTAAATCCACTTGTTATGGAGCGCTCTCTGCCTGGTGGTAATTCAACTAATTCCCACGTCTGATTTGACATAAGCGAATCCATCTCATCTTTCATGGAAGACTCCCACTTGACTGAATCCTCCACTTGCATTGCTTCATCATAACACTCTGGTTCACCATTGTCAGTCAGCAACAAGTAGTGTAAAGAAGGCGAATACCATTGGGTTGGTTTAGGAATTCTGGAGGAGCGTCTCAGTTCTGGTGTGCCTGGTTCTTCCTCTTGAACTGCTTCAGGACTGATCTGAATATCATTTCCAGAAATCTCCTCGAACTCAGCAAATTCCTTTGTTTCAGCCTCGGTATTACTTGATTCTGCGGTTGACCTGTCTTTGTACATCACATTTTCATTGAAAATGACGTCTCTGCTTATGATGATCTTTCGATTTTCGTAGTCCCAAAACCGGTAACCGAACTCATCACCGCCATAACCAACAAAGGCACATTTGTTGGACTTAGCATCAAGTTTACTTCTTTCAGCAGAGTCTATGTGTACATAAGAAATACAACCAAACACTCTTAAGTGTGAAAGGTTTATTTCTTTCTTGCTCCAAGCTTCCTCTGGTATTCCGCCATCCAAACGAACAGAGGGCCCACGGTTGATCAGGTAAGCTGCAGTGTTGATAGCTTCAGCCCATAGAAATTTGGGCAATCCGGCATGTATCCTCATGCTCTAGCACGTTCATTCAGAGTTCTGTTCATGCGCTCTGCTACGCCATTCTGCTGCGGTGTTATGGGAACTGTTTTCTCCATCTTAATCCCATTGTTTGCGCAGAAATCTCTGAATCTACTGTCTCTGTACTCTCCTCCATTGTCAGACCTCAACCTCTGACTTTCAAACCAGTCTCATTTTCCACCATGGCCTTCCATTTTCTGAAGGTATCAAAGACTTCTGATTTCTTCTTCAGAAAATAAACCCACACCTTCCTTGTTGAATCATCGATGAAGGTGACATAATATAGTGAGCCTGCAAGAGATGGAACTGGGGATGGTCCCCATACATCAGTATGAACCAATTCTAACCTTTCTGCCTTGGGTGCCTTGCCAATCTTTGCAAAACTGACTTTCTTTTGTTTGCCAAAGATGCAATCCTCGCATAGTCCGACATCCACATTCTTTAGATCCGACAGCTTCCCTTTTGACAAAAGTATCTTCATTCCTTTCTCGCTCATATGGCCAAGCCTTTGGTGCCATAGATTTGATTTTCCATCAGCATCTGCTACTGCAATGATATTCTCTAAATTTGAGGTTACATAGAGAGTACCAGTCTTCTTACCACGAGCAATGACGAGTGCTCCTTTGGTAATCTTCCATTCACAACCTGAAAAGGTTGTACTATATCCTTCTCCATCAAGCTGTCCAACAGAAATCAGATTTCTTTTGAGGCCAGGAATATGTCTCACTCCTGTCAGCTTCCAGGTGGTCTGGTTTGGCAGCTTTAGTCGGATATCTCCTTTTCCGACGATCTTCAAGGTTTCATCATCAGCAAGATGAACCTTCCCAAAATCACCACTGATATAGTTCTCCATGATTTCTTGGCATGGGGTGGAGTGGAAAGATGCCCCTGAATCCAAGATCCATGATTTAATCGGACTGTTGACGCTTAGAATCATGGCATCACCTGTCTCCTCTGTCACGTTGGCAGATTCCTGTGCACCGGTATCTTTCTTCAGTGCTCGAATCTCTTTTAAAGTGACCTTTCTTGCCACAATTATAACAGGTAAAATATTTCTTTCCCGTTCTGGATTTTTCCCGTCTGGATTTGGATCTGCCACGATTTGAATTTCTTTCTGAAGTTCTCCCTCTGGACTCCGTGTGCAAGGTTGAGGAGGTTGATGCTTCACCCGATTCTCTCCGTCGAATTTCTTCGCTCAGTACCAGATCCCGAACATCGTCGAATTTCAATTTACTATTTCCCGACGAGCTGCTAACTGCTGTAACAGTAGCATTCCAACTGTCTGGTAGAGATGATAAGAGAATTAAAGCTCGAACTTCATCATCGAATTCAATTTCCACATAACTCAACTGGGTTGTGATTGTGTTGAGTTCATTCAGGTGTTGAGCCACTGATGCCCCTTCCGTCATCCGCAAATTGAATAATCGCCTCATCAAGTGAACTTTGTTTGAGGCCGATGGCTTCTCATACATACTGGAGAGAGCTGCCATAAGACCTGCCGTGGTCTTTTCCTTTGCTATGTTGAAAGCAACATTTCGGGACAACGTCAGTCGGATAACTCCGAGGGCTTGTCTGTCGAGAAGAGCCCAGTCTTCATTCTTCATGCCCTCTGGTTGCTTTCCTGAAAGAGGTTGATATAGATTTTTCTGGTACAGAAAATCTTCAATCTGCATCTTCCAAAAGCCAAAGTCCGCACCATCGAACTTTTCAATTT